AATTCACTGTAAACCACGGCTTCACGGGGCTTATTGCTTTTATAAAATGGTTATTCCATATACGTAGTAAGGTTTCACAAAATAAAACAGAGCAAATAAAGTGTAATGATATTAATAAAAACAGTATTCTTCCACCAAACAACGTAGTTCCTCAGAAACAGTGGTGGTTGCCGAGCAACACACAGAAGTAAACAAAGGTGTATGTTTGTAGAGTAATTTACAACAGCTTCGAACGTGGCTCAGCCAATCGGAATCAAGGACCGGAATTATCCGTTTTTTAAAGGACGTATACATACTACTACTCAAAAGTCTTAGGTCAGTATTTTTTCTTTTGAATAAAACACAGTTTTTACATATTAATTTTTTTCCTTAAAAGAGGAACTGAAAGAGTAAAGCCTGAATGTATTAAATCATGAAAGAAAAATTAGTCAATTGATTAATTCTATATATATATATATAATTAATTTTTAAAATTAATACTTTAATTAATGCATATATATATATATATATATATATATATATATGAATAATTTTAACAAATATATGAAAAAATTTGTACAAACAAAAACAGCAAATTAAAGCAAGGATGCTATAAACTGATCAAATGTCACTGTAAAGACATTTATGGTTATTTTGAACTTTTAAATTCATCAAAAAATCCTAAAATATAAACATATTTTAAATCACATGTTCCTCGCCAGGTGTTGGACTTCAGCATCACATTACCTCTGTATAAGTTCCATCGGCTTTGCATTCTGGGATAAAGACAGCAGAGGAATCAGAATGAGCGCTGGCCCGCAGAGCTTGAGAGCGAGCCAGCTGACATTTAGACTTCAACGCATCTGCTGACAAACACAAACACTTCAGACTTTTAAAAAAAGCCTCCGTTGACAGCAAATGAGAAGTCTTTGTTCCCTGTGATGAACCTCACCTGTGCATGTTGACACTGCAGCCGTCCTCAGCCGTCTGTTGATGCACTGCGCACGCTGGAAAGAGCACAGAGATTTATACATTCGGCCGTTGCTGCCACACACAGCTTGATGGCGCCCTCTAGCACAGTCCAGCACACACGCCTGACGCCACTGCTTTTCCAACACCAGCAACTAGAATTAGAGAACAGGAGGGGGTCAGTTTCTTTACATCTGGCTGAATGTGAAAGGCTAGACTGTGTAAAAACTCTCAAAAAAAAGAGAAACATGGTGTCTGGCTGAGGAACAGCAGGCTACTGTCAAGAAAAACGCTGGAGGTCCCATGATGGGAAGGTGATGCGAGATGGTTTAGACACGCTAATGAAAGATTTATATTAATGCACTCTCTCAAAGGACAGATTATCCTATTGAAGGCAAGCAAAGAGAGTACATATTTATATATTAAATAGCCCCAAGATTAAATATTCAAAAATATTCTCCTGCAATTTAATTTGGCATCCTTGCGTACTTTAATTATAGATGAAAAACTACAATATTGGTCAGATGGCAGTTTGCTCTCAGTATGAATTGGCCAATATTGTAATAAGAATATATCAGAGCATACATTTTCCAAGTTACAACAGTAAAAATCTTTCTATGCCAGATTCTAAAAAGTATTAAAGAGTTCTATATCTTTTCTATTGTACATAAACATGTTCTGATGTCCATCAGAGACGTAGTGTGGAAAAAACAGGCAAACAGTTTAGAATTATATTAGCGGAAGTTCCATTACCCATAAATATCCCAAACATATGTGGCAGTGTTTACTGAATCCTTGAAAAGAATAGAGCAGCGTGTCCTTTAATGAGGCCCGAGAGAGAGAGCTTGCAAAATGACTTGCACATGTTCAGAAGTTTGTGGAAACATCTCCATCTCTGATGAGTGTGTACATGCGCATGTTCTACATGCAACACACAATCATTACTGAGAAACCATGAAAATCTTCCGTTCTCAGAAAAATATCCACATTTTCCATAACATGCTGTAAAGGGCAAGTCCCTACATGACCCATCAGATTTAGAATTTAATCAATGTTTCTTCTCATTTTTGTCATTAATCATGCACATTAATATCTATTATTTGCCCTATTTATTTATTTTTTCTGTGTATGTCAGGATGCACTGCATGTTTATAAGTTATACAGCTGTTGGAAAGACCAATTTTTAACAAATCTATACATACATACAAAAAGAGTTTAGGTCTCAACTGCAAGAATATAAAATAAATTATAATATTTCAATAACAGAGTAAAGGTATTAACTTTGGACTCTAGGTTATGCATTTCCTTAAACAGTTACTGATGCTGATTTGCCAAACTCATCAGGATGGAATCTTTCCACACCTTCACAGTCCAATTTCAATGTGCAACAGCAAATGAAACATTGGAAGTGACATGAACACGGCTGCGCTTAAACCTGCTCCTGCCAAGTGTGCAGCCAGTAACAAACAACATGGAAAGTCAAGGATGTCTCTGTTGGAGAACAAGGCAGCACTGTAGACATGAGGCATGTCTAACAATTTTATAACTGTGAATGAAAATAAATACCCAGTCTGAGTGGCCTCAGGTGGTTGGTTCAGTAATGAATGAGAGATGTGGTGCCACTTTGCTGACAGGTGTGCATATTTTGAATTTAATGGCAATATTTTTTGTCTTTAACATATGGGCATTTAAAAACAGGGTGATTATAAAGAAAAAAAATCTGTATTCCTGTGTCGCTTTTAGACAAAAACTCTCTTAGCCTGATCAGATTTATGTGGCTTGTGCTCAGGCATTTCACATTTCCAGGTGGCCTTTTTTTCTTTTGCAGGTTAACAGGTGCACGTTTTGACATGGAAATTTATGACACAGAGCGATACTAAGAAATTCACAAAACCCTTTTTATTTCACTGGGATACATGTTAAATATTCAATCTTTGCGACTTTTTAGAGCTACTAATATATATATATATAAAATGACAAGTCCCTCATTACATATGTAATTCCCTTTAGTTAATTTTCTGCAACAATTAGGCGAGCTGTTTATTTATGGATCTGACATGTTCAGTAGATTTGTCCTAATCTTCTTGCATCTGTTATTACAAAATATTACACAACTATACATTTTACACATGCAAGATCAAATAATTTATTTTCGTCTCCAGTCGGGAGTTTACCTGATTTTCGTCCGTCATCTTTACTGAATCTGACAACAGAAAGATGAGTAGTAAGCGACAGGTGAACGTCAACACCAACATGATTCCCGCCACAACAGCCCACGCTCTGAGATCAGTCACGTTTTTCCCGCCTGCGTGTGAATTTAAACACAAGGCGCGCGTCCTCACCACTGTAACGGCCAGGATTCAGAGGTTGAAGACAGCAGGGAAAAAAGCCTGCATTTACTCAGTTTGTCATAGCAGCCTAACCGTTCGTTTTCGACGAGGACAACCAACAGACAGGCGATAAAAACGACCTATTTCGACCAAAATAATATAACCTTAAAACATTAAAAACGATGTCTTCTGTAATATTTCACGAATGTTGTTTGAGGAGCTCAACACAACCGACTGTGCTGACTTCACATTTTCACACAGGAACTCCTCCTCAGGACGGCTAGGAGGATGGTAAGTTAACTCTATTGGTTCTTGAGAGTCCTCACCTGTCTAAACTGTTTATTAGAGTGGCTGTTTCAGATTTTTTTTTTTTACAGTTTTTATTTACATATAATAGCACATGTAGTATCTGGCTAATTTGAGCTTTCTTAAAATAATTTCAATGTTTCAACAGCCCTCAAATTAAGCACCATCCACAACGTGTGAGGCATAATGCAGATTACCACAGGAAAAAAAAAAAAAGTTATTTTGAGGAAAACATTTTTTACACCAATAGGCCTACAGTAATACACTAAATCTGTCTGTCACAGGATAAAAGAATCATTGCTAATCAATATTTTGTCACCAATGTTGTTGATAGGACTTACAGACAGAACGTCATTAATGCATTCATTTATAAACTTTGAATAAAGTAAAAAAAAAAAAAAAAAAGCTCCAGAGACAAAATCAAATAGGGACACAGACAAATAATTCAAAGTGGTAATGTTTTATAAGGAAACTTTATGTGTGCATGTGAAATTCACTTATCTTGAGACAGAAAGCAATTTTTTGCAAATTTCCAGTACAGCAGATAACGTTTGATATTAAAGAGTACAAAAGAAAAAAATAAATCAGAATTCCAAATGCTTTTATTCAACTTTGCAGACGTAAGAGCAGGCTTTTGGTCCAAGTCTGTTCAAAACTTCTGAAGCCCATCTTCCCAACCCTATTCCCTCCCTCTACCCTTAATTCGTTCTCACTTCAATTCAACACTTCCAACTGCAAATCACCCCCGCCGTTCATTACAGAGCATGGTTGGTATTGGATACATGATTGCATAGATTTGTTAGACAGTAATTTAATTTTAATTAAGACATAATGGAATGTTCATTAAGACTTCAGCTCTCCCACTCCTTCCCCCAACCTCCAGAGCTGTACATTAAACGAGTGCACAACAAAAGGAAAGGAAAAATGAGTGGGAGAGAGAGCAACCTGCAACTACCAGGCACATTTGTACTTATTTCTGACTATATAAAATTCTCTTTTCCACTGATGATTCAGCAGCTGTGTAGTCATAGGCTCTAGTGGAGGGTCACTACAAGGCTATGCTGCTCACATCACCACTGAAGCTCTCACATGGACATTTAGTAATATCTGAGAAATGATTAGAGATGGATGGCAGATGGACATTAGTTTCAGTTAATAAATCCTTAAGGGACATGTCTACTTGAGTCATGGAGTCAATAAAAGAATGCTGTATGGTTGATCGGGGAAGGAAAACAACAAATCGACTGGGTATTTTTGTAGCTTCATTCTTCAACCCCTTAAAAACAAACCTGTAGCTACCTAAGCCTGCCTACAGTACTCCGCAGGGGTGAAACTGCTCATTTTATAATCTTTGCTTATGACCTGAAGCCCAGTGTGACCGCCATGGGTAGTCCGACAGTTCTGTGTACTGGAAAATAAGTATGTACAGCGTAGAATCCCGCTAACTCAATTGCTGGAGAGGAAAGAAATAAAAAGGGGAGGAAAAAGCTGAGGTTGGATTTTCAAAGAGTTCCACCGATCCAGCAAAATGGGTTAAGAGGGCATGTCACAAATTCCCTATCAAAACACTTGAGTCATTCTGTCCATTTTCCTACGATATACAGCCTTGCTATATGCCAAATAACATATTCCAACCCCAAACCCAAACCTCCCACCCCACCAACTCTAGGAAGAAAACAACAAAATTAAAACAAAGAAAAACAGCATGTTAACTGGAAAAGCTTGTGCCCTCCCCACCGGGGTAGAGGGTGCAGGTTAAGTGTCTAGGCATAGACTGAAGCCAAAGCTGATTCTTTAAGCTCTCTTTAGTTCCATCCCAGAACAACCTAGTAAATTTAATAATAATTAATATTTTTTCTAATTTAATGAGCCCAACGGCTCAACATCAGCTGGTGAGAAATCACTTGAAAGCTGGAAAAACACCATCGAGTCCTTTCATATGTCAATTTAAGATGAAACGGAAGATTAAAGAACCTGAGCTGTGGCTACAGTCCAAAGCCACACACCCACTTCCCTTGACACTGAATCTGCAATATTAAACTTTTCTCTTTCCTTCTATCCTACATCTTTTCTTAAGCTCTCCAAGACCGACATGTTTAACACGGAATCCAAAAGGCTATCCCTCAATGCGTGGCAAGCTTCATCAACAGTTATTTGCTCTTCCCACAATGCCATGGTACCCTCCTTCCCCCAAACATCTATCCCCCCTCCCCCTCAGGTGTGCTATGAAGTCCCATTTCCAACACTCTTAAATATCTTCCTCTTCCTCAGGAGCACTGATCTCTTTAAGGACTGGATGGTTGAGAGAAAGACAGATGCGGCTCCATCCAGCGCTCTCATCTATCTAGTCTGTGAGAAGATCAGCACCGATGCAGGAGAGAGAACTGCTCCGGAGTTCTGGAGTTGGCCCTTAGAGGTCGCTCTCCCCATACAGGGCGGTGGAGAAGGACATGTAGTCAAGAGCGCCTGGAACCGCGTCGGGGCCCGTGTATGGTGCCATTCGGGCAATGCAGTACTCTGCCTGGTCAGGAGGAAGCTCACGCCTCAACTCCTCGGCTGTGATGTAGTTCTGAAAAGGAGAATAGGCAAGAGATGCGTTGAAGTCTCATAACACAAGACACTCTTGGAGGGACATCCAGACGTGCACATTCATACCTTGTCTCCGGCTAGGATCTTAAATGAGGCGATGACCTGGTCTGCAGTGTCTGTGTCGGTTGTTTCCCTTGACATGAAGTCGATGAAGGCCTGGAAGGTCACTGCTCCACTGTTGTTGGGGTCAACAATACCCATGATACGACCAAATTCGGCATCACCCTGAAGAACAGAGGTTAGAGGTTAACCCAGAAAAACCAGGAGGACAGTCATGAGAATCAACGTTAAACACCATCTTTGACGCAAATGAAAACAAGGCTGTAAGAAATTGGTGTACAGTTGGGTCAATGCGTTGATTAAGACTTCAATGGTCACCTGAATGGTAAACTCACTGAACGCTAACTTTACATCTATCCCTCAGCCCGTTTTCATTTGAGCCGAATTAATACTGCATCTAAGGTGCTTGACTGTGGTCTGTTACGGGGTGGCCAACTTTGGTTCTGGACAGCCACAGTCCTGCAGAGTTTTGCTTCAACCTTGATAAAAACTCTTTCTGTAGCTTTCTAGTAACGCTTAGACCTTGATTAGCTTGTTCAGGTCTGTTTGATTAGGGGTAAAGCGAAACTCTGCAGGACTGTGGCTCTCCAGGACCAAAGTTGGCCACCCCTGGTCTATTAGAATCTATTCAGTAATAATTTTTTTTTTAGATTTAAGATTTACAGATCTTAACGTAAAATATAGATAAAAAAAAATATAATAAGTAATCAGCGATATCCGACAAAACAGAATCTTTTTTTTAACAGCAAGCAAAAGCAGGAGTTCAGGAGAAACTGTTGCTGTAGATTGAGAAAGGAGGTAGCAGTACCAGGCTGTTCCCAGTGGAAATGAGCAGTGCGCGGAAATCGTCGCTGTCCATTATCCCCGTGCGCTTCTACAGTTCGCAAAGGGAAGGATGAGAAAAGAAACAGGAAGGATGCATGTGGAAAGCAGAGAATTTGGGGAGATGAAGAGGTTGTACGCAGACAGAAGAGTTTGATAGAGGAATCAGAATGAGTTTGTACAGAAGACAAGTCAGAGAAAGAGGGAAGTTATAACAAGGACAAGTAAAAAAATTAAGAAAAAGGAAGCAGTGAGAAACATAAAACATGAAAGCAAAACCTTAGCTGACCTGCAGAGGGCACCATTTTAAGCAACAGCACAACAGGTGAGTGAGGGAGTTAGTGAGTGATGGAATAAGCGGCGCACACACACACACACACACACAGACACAGACAGACAGACAGACGGCAGCCATCGTAACCCTTTCTTCTCTGGGCATGCTCATACCTGCTTGTCGTTTTCTACGTCGTAACCCAGACTGATCAAACAAGCCTTGAACTCCTCAGCTTGTAAGACACCACTGTGGTCCTGTGGCAAGCCAATCACGCAAGAGGTCGCAGTGGATGAACCAATCAGAGCATGTGGATTAGGATTGATGATACCGATACACAATGACATAGCACGTGTGGGATGGAGGCAGTGGCATGACAAAAAAGATGGAGACAAAACATTGTGGATGTCAGACACATGGGCTGTTGGCTAAACAAGTATAATGAAACACGCTTATGACAGTGAGTGACCTGATTTTTTATGGATATCAGACAGAACATTCAGATCCATGATATTACAGAGCCATTATGAAAGCACTTTATAATTTTCTCTACTTTACCGTAGCTAAACTTCTCCACTCTAACATAAAACCCCCTCATTACTTCACATCCACTAGACTATATTTGCATATTGGCTACAGGTGGCACATTTCAGGTCAGAGGTGTTTGACGCACAGTATATTTCAGACGTTTTCCTTCCCATTAGTGCCAGAGTAAGTGGAGAAAATGGAGCAATGGAACAAATATTAAAACAAGCCCAACCAAAATTTTAAACCGAGGTCCATTTTTATCATGCATCAGTCACACTGAAATTAAACACAGCCATTCACCTTGACATAAGCAACACGGACTAAATTTTCCATATTCTTCTTTATATGGACACTTTAATCCTCTGCAATGTCATGTATTTTTAGTGGCCTGCTGCTCAAATCTCTTTGCTTTTAAACTGCTCAACACAGTTTAAAATCACAAGCCCTATATGCATATTAAAGGAACAGTTCACTCAAAAATGATCACCATCTTGTCTTTTCAAAACATATGACTATGACGTATGTTATTTGGAAAACAAGATGTTAGACTCAATTCTCATTCAAACTTGCACATACTCAATTTTGGAGCAAAAAGACATCAGGTTTGACATCAATGATGCAAAACGTCCAATGCTTTCATTAAAAATGACAGTTTGATTGATCTATTCCTTTACTACACTAACCTTGTATGACTTTCATGGTCATACAAACACTTATTTCACCTAATTTAAGTAAAGTCCATTTCACACAGAGTTAAACATGGAAATGAGTTCCTGACCTTGTCGAAGTGATTGAAGGACGTGCGGTACTCGTGAAGCTGCTCCTGGCTGATGCCTTTAGCATCACGAGTCAGAATCTGGTTCTCGATCTCGTTAATGGTGCGGGCAATTGTAGTAAGGAGCTGCTCCCAACCAACACGTAGGTGCTGCAGAGAAGAAAAGGGCAATGGAAAAACAGTCAAAAAACTGATTTTGAATTTTGAATTGCTTAACAAACTTAATGTAGGAATTGTACACACTTGACCTAAACAGTACATCTAGAGTTCCTGAATAGTGCCAACATCGTAAATTAGTGTATGTGCATATGCATACCTCCATAGTATAAGCAGTGTATTTGTTGTCAAATATAAGTGCTTCCTGAATGAGCTGATGGTCTCCCTCCAGTTGGTCAATGTTGGGTTTGTATTCAATGATGCTCTGCTCATACTGACGGAGGTGGGTCAGCTGATCTTCCAGCGTTCCATTCATCTCAATTGATATCCGCCCGATCTCCTACAAACATCATGCCATGGAGACACAAATTCATCATTCATTACTTTTCTTCTTTGAGAAATGATAAGATCATCAAGCTACACAAATGGAGGCGACTATACCTCCATCTTATTTTGGATCCATGGTCCAATCATGTTGGCCTGGTTGGCAAACTGGCGTCTAAGATGGTCATTAGACTGCTGACGTGCGAGCTCTTCCTGAAGAGCCTGATCACGCTGTGGAACCAGTTGCTGCACCTGCACAATGACAGAGATAACATCAACAATTGCAATCACAACTGTAAAACTACCCCCACACACCCGAAGGAAGCAATGTCTCATTCACAATACAGACAGATCTCACCTTCTCCCATTTCTTGTCAATGCTCTGAGGGGTGATGGTGGTGTAAGGATTGTTTCCAGCCAGTTTGATGCCATTGTACTGTGCGATTTTCTGAACTTCAGCCTGGATGGCCTGGATAGCTTCCCGCTCTTTATTTGCCTCTGGAAGAGTTGATTTGAACTGGTCATGAGCCGTTATCAGTCCCTACAGAAAGAGAAAGACATTAGGGAAAGAATTCTTGCATCCAGAATTTTATTGTTCCCTTCACCTCGTTCTAAAATGGACTATCCAGAGGTACTAGCAACGAAACGAGGAACTCCATTTCAAAGGTGAAGCAAGATGGAAAGCTTATGAATACAAAACATTTTGCAGTACCTGGATCTCCTCGATGTTGTGTACAATGAACATGTCCTGAAGGTCCTCCATGGCTCCCTCCATCCAGTTGTTGAACGGTGCTGCTCTCTTGGCATACTCCAGGTACAGCTCATCAATAGACTCCAGCTGTTTCTCTGTTCTCTGTAGACCACATACACACACAGTCAGCATGATAAAATGTATAAATATGGCAGAAAGTGTTTCAGAGGAAGCATGCGTACCTCGAGAGATTCTCTGCGACTCTGTGTGAGGGAACCCAGAGCATCCCATTGCTCACAGATCTTCTGACAGCGTGCATTAACGCTCGGGGAGTCGTAGTAGTCCAGCTCACTGTAATACAGACACAGAAGAGTTTGAACACTTTCCCAACTTCCATCTCTTACAGCCTAAATTTTGTATTTGATTAATTAGCCCTCTCTGTTGTTTTTGTTGTTTTCTCACTTGAGCTCCTGTGCAATGGCAGCAATCTGCTCCACTCTGTCCTGGTGGGCAGCAAGGTCACTTTCGAATGCCTCATGCTTCTTCAGGAGAGCTTTGATCTCAGACAGAGATGCGGTCTCATAGTCCTTCTGTGTTAGCATGGCCTCCTTACCTACACACAAACAAACAAGATCGATTTAGATCTATATAGATTTTAGATCACATGGCTGATCCTTAAGACTTCTGCTTGGCTGACGAGGCTCTTGTCATCAAGGAGCAGCCTGTCATTGCATACTGAGAGCGATTGGTGAATCAATGTAAATAACTTTCAAAAGCATCAGTAAGTTCAGGTGTAGTTTCTGATCCATACCATCCGTCCAGCTTTCATGGATGGCTGCTTTCTGACGGAACTTTTCTGCAAGATGGTCAAGTCTCTCCAAACGACGGATCTCATTCAGTAGCCACTCTTCATAGCCTTTCTCGGCCCCTTCCAGTTTATGCCATGCACCATTAATGTCCTAGAGGGAAAGCAAGAACTTGTCAGCCAAATGCCTTGCCAATGGTTCAACAACAGAGGTTGAGAATGAACACGTTTCTGCACAAAACAGTCATTAATGTCATCACAGTGATAAAGCAAAAAGACTTGAATTGTACATGTAATATACATGTTTCTTACCGACACCATGCGTCCCTCAGATGGCATAAAGGCTGGTCGGTTGCTCAGACGAAGTTTGGTCTGCAATGTGTTGAAGTTGATCTCTAGCTGACACTTCTCCTGAACTTTAGGTGGTTTGTGAACGCGACGGTAATCGCGGAAATCTTCCAATTTCTGCTGCATTTCTGTCATGGTTTTCTCTGGAGCACGGTTTTCCAACCATGGGATTGTCCTACGAATCCACTCCAACAGCTGTAAGAAAAAAGCATGCGATAAAGAAATGAATAGAGGATCAACAGAAAACACATTCTCCTCTCTAACATACTGAGACATTTAAAAGTAAAACACTCTGGGTAGTTGGTCTCGAAATAGATCTTCTTTTAAATATTACTATGTCTACTTAAATCACACAAACAACAAACATAATGACTTAAACTCACATCGCTGGCCAGTTTTTCATAGTCCTCCATCAGGTGCTCGTTCTCCTGATTGACCGCCAACACCTTACAAATACGATTAGCTGCTGTCTCAGCCTATCACAGAAGAGGACAGTTACAATTGTATTACATACCACATCTTTCCAATTATGAAATTCTATCCATACATAAAAAAAAAAAAACACTGAACCGCACACTGTTTACTACACAAATATATAGTGTATACCATATGTTTATACTACAGTATACACAGTACACTTCTATAAAGAAGTATGACAAATCTGTGTTTAAAGCTGTAAATGTCAATATGCTGCTTTGGTTTAGACAGGAAAGAAATTTGGAACTATAAAGTATTTATTGTTTTTTGGTTTGGTGGGTTTAGCAAAAAGTGCCTCAAAATTACATTCAAATACACGCAAACGATGTATTGAGCACACAATGAAACAAAACTCCAAGTGTTGTAAGTTAATGTGCTATACACACACAATAACATGCGTAAAAACTAGTCAAATGAAATTAAAATTAAGTTAAACATCAATATTACATACTTCACTTGTAAGCTATCTTTTATACTAATTTACGTTTCATGCAAACACCAAAATTGGTTAGTTTTGAAAGTGTAGTCTAGCCAAAAATTCCACATGCCATTTGTAAAATCAAATCTGCATTCTCAATTTATATACCACCACTGGAGGATCTCTTCAGGGTTCTCTACAGCATTAACTAACACTGAAACACAGAAAGTGTTCAAAACGCTCGTGTAAAATGCTAAAGCACATTTAAACAACTATGATTATAAGTGTGTGGCTTCACTTCAAATGGAAAACACATATCTTTCATATGCAGCAGCAAAACCTTACAGAAAATTACTGTCCAATGTAAAAGTGGGCTTAACATTAATAAACATAATACATATGCTTGTGTAGATAGATAACACAGAACATCTAAGAATCAAAACAGCATACTTAGTGTTTTAAATGTGAGCTATACTGTGAATTTCATTATGATTTTCATATTTACACACACAACACTGTCCTCAACTGTTACAAACTTTATCACTGAGTGCAAATATGAAACATCAAACAATGAAATTCACATTTGCAGCATTTAAAGAAAGTTTTCATAGACCAGTACACCCATTAAGGACCTTAAATGACTGCAGAACCATTTTAGAAAATAAGTGCATATATAGAAAAAGGTGAGGGCAATGGTTTGGGTGTAGTGAAGCCCAAAGCTGTGATGAATCAAAACTAGTCAGTGGCCTTAACTTTCAAGTCACGTTCACACCTGGTTCAGTTGGATTGGTTTTTGGTGCAGGTTACAAATAGGATTACCAATTGGCTACAAATCTGACATTCCCATAATTACGACTAGATTCTTCTTTCCTCATTTAAGACTCAATATTTGACTCAAAGTATAAGAGTATTGGAATAAAACAATGGATCATTAAAGCAAGTCATCCATCTGGTGGTTTGTTTGAAATATCTAATCCATAACAAATCAGTGCCATATGGCGAGCCAACCGGGTGGGAAAACCCAGACACAATAAAAATGATTTTCATCTGACTTGGTTACATTTGTGTACATTATTGTGAGGAGAGCAAATACAAGAATTTTAAAATAGCTAACCTAATATTGCTGTATTAACATAATAGTGCAAAAATGTTGTGTACAAGCTGTACAGTGCCATAGGGAACATTTACTGTTAGTCCTTTGCTGTTGCAGCAAAGTACAACGAACCAAGATGAGAAACCAGGCATGAAGGCACCTTAAGAGTTTCAAGGGCAGCAGTCAGGGGTCAAAGGTTCCTCACCTTCTGAGCACCTGAGAAGGCGTGATAGAAACAGGAGACGTAGGTCATAATAGCCTTCTCATCCGGCCGCAGAGTGCCCACGATATCTATAGCAAAGCCAGCGGAAAAAGAGAGAGAAAGAGACAGCAGTGAAGCAAAGCAACCCAAAGCCTGTGTGTCCCCACCGAGAGAGGAGGGGATGGTTATGCATTTTATGGGCTCCCCATTCAAAGGGAAATGGGGTTTGGAGTCCAGTGTTATAACCCTGGCAACCCGCAAAGTGAGAGAAAGAGCCAATTCGCTGTTGAGAAAAGAGTCGTAGGCCAGGGGAAGACGGGTTAAAACACCAGCGTCCCTCTTTGGTTATTCCAGTACTGATGGGAAAAGCCATGCTGAAGAGGAGGTGATGAGGGGTCAAGGGTTAGGGGTCATGGGGTACCTTCTGGGCTCCAGAAAATGCATGGTAGAAACTGGACACATAGGTCATTATGGCTTTCTCATCTGGACGTGCCGTGTTCACAATGTCTGCAGGGAAACAAAAGTTATACACACACATGCACATACAGGGAGACAGACGGGACTCAAACACACACTCGTTAACACACACAACGACAAATGCCAAATCTCAATTCACTGGTGATGGCCAAGAACATACTTTTGAGTATGTAGTAAGGCAGTATGCCAGGTTTTAGGCACTACGTCACCGAATTGTGTCTTGATGACACAGATCCATTCGCTCTGCACTGGTTGAATTTGTATGTGAGCATTAGTGTCTAGCTAAATTCATTACTAAAACTGTCCGTGCCTGAATATAGCTTTCCCTGCCTGCTATATAGTATGCTTAAGCAGTATGTCAAATGAATAGTATTCATAAAATTAGCTCAAAAAGCAAGTACAGATACAGATTCAGACAATTCACTGGAGACAATGAACCATCCAAGCACTTCTCGCATTAGTGATGTGTTGTTCACGAACGAGCCGGCTCTAAGAGCCGATTCTTTATAGGGAACGAGAAGAGCCGACTTCTGTCGGGGAAGGCCGAATCTTCAGCCAGAGCCTTCTATTTTAGCCCAGTTTAGCAATTGTGAATGGTTTGTGTTGGTAAGCAATTTTTTATTCAGTGTTTTCATAAAAGCCTTATTTTTATGCATTTTTTCGTTACAACAACAACAACAGAAAATACACATGCGGCTAATCACATGGGAGGATCGACTAGGATCATACCATTATGTGAAAGAAGGAAAGGGGACACACGCTCCGCAGATAGCGAGTGTAGTGGTAAAGGCCAGGTACACAGAGTGACAGTGAGAGACGGGGGAGCCGGATTTAAATGCAAGCACGTTGGTTAAGGTAGGAAGACACTGCATTGTTGCAACATCGGTCCCCTCAGAGAGAGTCTTCTCAAAAACAGGACAAATAATCACAGAGAGGAGAAACCGCATCAGCACATCCAAGCTAAGGCATCTGATATTTCTGAATGCCAACCTGCACTAAAGACTAAAGTGTCTTAATGTTAAGACTTTTGCCTTTATTTATTTGATTTGTTTGCTGTGGTTCTGTGTTCAATTGTTCAATTAAAGTTTTATTAAAATGTTAAATAATAGTAACTGTATTTTTTTGTAACGAAAAAATGCATACAAATATGGCTTTTATAAAAACACTGAATAAAAAATTGCTTACCAACACACAAACCATTCACAATTGCTAAATTGGGCTAAAATAGAAGGCTCCGAGTGATACTAAATGAAGAGCCATTTGAGAGCCGAGGAAATAGGAGAGCTATGGAAATAGTGACTTTCCATCACTATTTCGCGTACTATTTTTGACATACTAGGATTCGGGATGTGCCAATTCTGTCGTCACATAATATTTAGGTTGGATAATATGGTAATTGGGACTCAATTCTCCTCTAATCAGAAACAGTACACCATCCAGGCACTTTTAGCATATTATGTGTGACTACTAAGATTTGGGACTCTTCAAATCTAATGTTACTTGGGATTCAATTATCCTCTCATCAGAAAAAGTACACCATCCAGGCACTTTTTGCATACTATTTTTCTTGCACTGTGATTTGGGGTGCACTAATTATGTCACATACTACTTCAGATGGATAGTATGCAAAATGGGATTATATTGAGAAATAGTATACACTTTTAGCATACTATTTTGATGCACTATGATTTGAGACATACTAATTGTTATGTCACATACTACTTAGGATGGATAGTATGCAAATTGGGATTCAGTTTTCCTCTCATCAGAAATAAAACAGCAATAGTATGCAAAAAGTGTCTGGATAGTATACTATGGTTTAGGACACACCAATTCAAGTATCACATACAGTTTAGGTTGAATAGTATGCAGGACTCAGTCCGACTCTGATCAGCAAAAGCATACAATCCAGTCACTTTTAGCATATTATTCTTGATGTACTATGATTTGGGATGCACCAATTCTGATATCACAAACTCTAGAGGATGAAGAGTATGCAAACTATGATTCAGGGTTACAAAACAATACACACACACACACGCACACAAATATAGCACTAAAAACACACTCCGACGCAGCAGGTTCAACAGAGATCCTGGAGAAATCATGCTTGAGGGAGAAACAACATAATGCTCAGGGATGTTACCATGGTGACACACTGTTTGTAGAAGACATTAAGTGTGTGTTGGAGAACAGGAACAACTCCTGGAAATACAGGGCATGTGCTGACATGCACAAAACACACTTTTTAATAGAGCGACTCATTCACTCTCTCTCCCACTCACACACACACACACACACACACACAGAAACATCATCACACAGCCTAAAGCACACAACTAACTTCACACACAGAAACGAGAGAACAGTTCATACCCTCTGCATCCAACATCTTGGGGATGTCGAGGTATCGCTCTGCCACTTCAAAAGCGTTGTTCAGATTAGTCACTGGGTCGTCCTGTTAACATAATGAAACAAACAATCATTTGAGCTTTTCTATAGCACTACATTATCTGAGAGAGCCTGCAAAACAGCGGAAACATCCACAGATTTCCAAAAGAATCAAAATATACCTCATTCAAAGTTCGACAACGTCCATCACCCCCTGGCATGTTTGCTTATTAAATAATTTTACTGATTTCACTGTGCTACTTTGGATGGAAAGTTTGCAAATTCTCCTCTCATAAGAAATAGTATACCAAATCATGACGTACTATAATTTGGGATGCACTAATTCTGTCACATACTATTTAGTATGGATAGTATGCAAATTGGTATTCTCCTCTCATTAGAAATAGTACAATCAAAAATAGTATGCAGAACGTGCCTGGATGGTATACTAAGATGTGGGATGCTCAAATTGTAATGTAATGTGAAATATGATTTAGAATGGATAGCATGCAAATTGGGATTCAATTCTCCTCTCATGAGAAATAGTTTACTATCCAGGCAGTTTTTGCATACTAATATTTGGTGACGCTGATACTTCTAATATCACAAAGTGAGACTTCCACAGATTTCAGCAAGAGGCAAAATGTCCGTTCATCGTTCACAAAGTTCTACAACATCCGTTTCCCCTTGCATGTTTATTAAATAAATTCGCTAATTTGACTATGCTTTTTGCTGCTAATTAGTCACAGCTCCACTTTTAATCATTTCCACAGAATTGCAAAAAAATTTCCCCCCAAATCAGTACAAAAACATTTCCAGATTGCACCTGGACTTAGTACTTTTCTCTCATGAGATGCTCACCTTTCTCAGCTTGTCATAATCGATGAGCTCTGGCCTGTGTCTGTGGATCAGAGCATTGAAGGCCAGACCATCCTTCCAGCTGTGGAGAAAGAGAAAAACAGTGTGAGAGAAAAAACAGGTACTTTTATTTCTCTCCTTTAAAACCAGCAGGGGGCGCCACTCAAACCACAGCTTATAAACTTTCCCCTATTTCTGCATTCATGTCACCATGTTGGAAACTTGTTAAACTGTAACAAACGACAGTAAAGGAACTTTGCTTGCAAAGCGACTGTGTAATTGAGATATTTCAGTTTCAAGTGCCATCTTTTAATCATCATCTTTAGCTATCATTGATCATTTGTTTATTCAAATACATTCTTAACACCGCTTTATGCAAAACCCCCCTTTGGGTGAATCAACAAATCAAAACCGCATAAAACCCTCCCTGGATCAGTCAAATAAAGCTTGTAGATCAAAGATCAACACTAATATGCATTTCAAACCTGATATGGAAGTTCTGAACGTTGACGTTCTTGTAAGGAGCCGTCTTTCTCTGACACCAGAGCAACAATCCTTCTTTAGCGGAGGTTTCTACAGAGAGACACACAGCAGAAACAGGCCATTACTGAACAGTCATCAAGTTCGCTTTCGTTCTCTAAAGTATGTTTGATTATGCTGTGCAGAGCTGTTTCTAAAACAAATGATACCCTCCACTGAGATGTCCTGGATGGCGAAGCGGAGGATGATGGTCCAAATCATTCCCAGAGTCATCTTGGCGTTTCCATCCACGATTTCTACAAACGCAGACACACAAAACTGTTAAGACTTTGAAAGTAAAAAACTTGCTTTAAAAAACAAATAATAATAATAATTATTATTATTATAAACTACATATATAAACTGAACTATAAAGTATATATCATTTATTCATGCATCAGTGTTATTTTAGTATCATTGATATACTATTACAGTTTTTGTTAATGTTTTGAATTAGAATTATTTTTGTATATTTCAGTTTTAATTTTAATTTAATACACGGCTTGTTTCAAGTTATTTTTAATCAGCAAAAAAAGTTTCATATTTTATTTTAGGTAGTAACCTTTAAGTATTTTAATTCAGAAAATGAATGACAGTTTTTGTTATCGTTAATGATAATAATCCTGATTATATATATATATATATATATATGTGTGTGTGTATATGTATCTACATATATATATATATATAATATCTAATATAAATATTATTTTAATGAAAATTAGAAATGTTACTTTGGCAATAAAATAAATAAAAATAATTAAAAAAATTACTAAAGTACTAAAATTACTAAAATTGAAATTAAATTAAAAGCAAAACAGAAATGAGTGTTATTGTTAACTAAATCTGGAAAAATGGTTTATTTTAAAATGATTGATACATTGTAATATGTACTGCACTTTTTAGTAATTTTTACTTACTAGTTTTAAACATTGTAGTACTTCAAGTTAAACAAAACAAAAACAATAAACGTTTCCGTTATATTTTATTTTATTTCAGTTAATGTTTACCTTAAATAACAAAAATGTTTTTGTGGTTTTTGCCTTCGTTAACTACAATAACCCTGAATAAAGCTAAACTAAAATAAAAATAGCATATTAATAAAACAAAACATATAATCAATATAATATAATATAATATAACAACATTTTCATTTAATATAAATATTAATTTACACTAATTGAGAATTAGTAATGTTGCCTTGGCAACTAAAAAAAAAAAAATGAAATATTAAAATTACAAAACTAAAAGCTAAAATAGAAATAAAGCCAAATAATAAATAAAGCCAAAAAAGAAAGCATTAAAAAAAATCTAAATATTAAAATTTACATGAAAACGAAAACTGAAAATATAAAAATAAAAGCAAATTCAAAATGTTATAATAGAATACAAATAACAAAATAAAACTGCTCTACACTTACTCCCTTTATAACTTCATATTACAAAAAACATTACAAATTTAAGAAAAAAAAGCACAAGCGGTTGACTCATTAGTTATCCTCACTAACTGACTAGTCTGGATTACCAGAGTGATCACAGCAGCTCAACATGAAGCAGCAAGAACAGACAGAGACAGGCATCAGATCACACTGGGAAAGGGGTTTCTAGGCCTGCGGCCTGAAACACAAAGACGCCATTGAGTTTAGTGGATAATGAGCCCCTTCAGCACCCCCTACCCTCGTACGACAGGCACCTACCCGGGACAGGCCCGCCACAAAAACAATTCAGCCTTCACACACATACACACAAACCAGTCAGGACCTGAGCCGGACGGCCACATCCACACGGTCAACAAACGTCAGAAATACCTCTGCTC